GACGGCTCTGTTCAGCTGAGCAAGCGGGGCCGGCCGGGCGCAGTGGGGCACACGCCGGGCTGCCGGGTCGGGTACCTGGCGAACGCCCGTGCAGCGGGGCGATGCTCCCCCGTCACACCCTGGGCCGAACAGCGCCGAGTGCCATCGCTGGCCCCCATGACGGGAGCCCCAGGCACTTGGGTGGGTGTCTTACCCTCTGCCTGATCCCCCAGCGCGAAGGCGCAAGGCGCTGCACACGACAGAGCTGCGATAGGTCAACGCGCAGGGCAGGCCTTGTGCAAGCGGGGCCGCCATTGGCGTTATGGACTTAAGAGCCAAGCCAGCTGCTCGGGGCCCCGCTGGCAGGCGCGGAGAATGCTCTGGAGGCGGCGTTCCCAGCACCGGCGGGGCGCAAGGCCGGAGCAGCACTGGCGGCTGGCAAGGCCGGGGGGGCTTTGCTCCTAGTCCCCGAAGCAGAGCGCCCCAGCCCTTGGCACGTCCTCCTCTAGCGCAAGGCTTTCCCCTGTGGATGGCCCCGGCAAAGCCTGACCGCGAAGGGCGGGAAGGGTCCCCAGGCACTCACAGCAGCGTGTCAGGGCAGTGTCTCGCCCCGTGGGACGGTACCCTCAGGGCTTCTCGAAAAGTCTGGGGGGACGCCTGCACCACTGCAATTTGGAGAAAACTGAATTTTGGTTTTCAGTTTCACAGCGCTGGATTATTTTTGTACTTGTTACACTCAAAAATGTCATCGCCCACCCAGCTACAATTAAGTTGTTTAAAGAAATGTGTTGCAATGGTAGAAAAATTTGGTGTGTGTCTGAAAACTGTAGGTACTGGGGATACTTATAATTTTTTAAAGCGGTACTTTATAAAAACGGGTTGAGAGACACCGTGTTCTAGCTCATTTCTGAACCCAGTTACAGTCCTGGTGTTCACCACATCCTCTGGCGAGGAGTTCCACAGGTTGACTGTGCAGTCGGCATTGGTGGAGGCAGGCAATGAGGCTTGCTGGAGCTAGGACTTCTAAGCCGGTACAGGAGCTCCTGGCAGGCACCTGAAGCAAGCTTGCTTGCTGACACGCAGCACAGTGTGGCCACCTCCCAATCCTCCTGCTGCTTAGCCAGCAAAGCCCCGCAGGGCAGGCCGGGCCTCGCTCCCTCTCCCCGCTTTGCCCAGGGACAGCGCTCAGGTGTCACAGCTGCATCGCCGCGAGCGAGGCCGACTGCAACCAGCAAGGCTCCCAAAGCTGCCCACAGGACGCCCAGGCCTGCGTCACCATCACTGCCACAGGTAGGTCCCTGCGGAGAGGTACCCTGGCTCGGGGGTGAGGGGCCCAGCGCAAGGCAGGTCACCCCGGGATTATCATTGTGGGCGGGCGCAGGGCTGTGTGTGCTGGGCCTGAATTCTGCCGCTCTCCTTTAGGGCATCCTGCTCTGCCCCCCTCTGGGTGGGGCTTCGTGTGTGTCACGGCTCAGGGTTCACTGCCACAGGTAGGTCCCTGCGGAGAGGTACCCTGGCTCGGGGGTGAGGGGCCCAGCGCAAGGCAGGTCACCCCGGGATTATCATTGTGGGCGGGCGCAGGGCTGTGTGTGCTGGGCCTGAATTCTGCCGCTCTCCTTTAGGGCATCCTGCTCTGCCCCCCTCTGGGTGGGGCTTCGTGTGTGTCACGGCTCAGGGTGCTACGAGCGGCAGGGGCCACCTGGCTCCTGCGCGGGTTTGCCAGGAACCCGGCACCCCCAGGTACTGCCTGGGGACAGCCGGCTGCCAGCAAACGAGGAGAGAG